GGAGCCCGAACCACACAACTTAGGTGCTTGTGGCATACGGGCTGAGAAGTAGGCTCAAAGCTGGAAATGCAGGAGGGTTAGAAACGCTATAATCTAAGGGCCGCCCAGCTGTGAGTGACGGGGTTGGAGGGGGTTGCCACTCATGTGCATGCAGTTACTGGCCACTCAGGTCCTGAGGGGAAGGTTCTGGAAGCCCGAAGAAACTTCCAGATGTTCCATGGCAGTTGGAGCCTATCAAGGAAGGGAGCCATTTCCTTTACTGGTTTGGAAGCGACTGCCCAGCTGGACCGCCAGCTCTCGACCTACAGGACCTGCCTCTGGTCTAATTGGGTGAGAGAGCAGGTTCTGAGTCTATGTGGGTGCTGGAGGTCAAGCTGGGAAGGGACCCCAGAGACGCGTGAGGCCACAGAGGGCAGAGGCAGGAGTCTCACAGAATACAGGTGGGGGTCCTGAGGGGAGAGGTGGGAATAGGAGAAGACAGAGGAGGGGCAGAGAGGACGGAGGGGCAGTGAGGACAGAGGAGGGGCAGAGAGGACAGAGGAGGGGTGAGCAGACAGGACAGAGGGGCAGCAGGCCTGTGACTCCCCCTGCAGGTCAGCCAGCACCCACCCCCGGTCTGGCCTCCGCCCCTGCTGCCCAGTCATTCAGCCGTTTCCTGCCTCCACCCACCTCAGCTGGCCTCTTCCCCCATGAAGCCCTCCTGACTCTTCCAGGTGACCACGTTTGCCCCCCATCCAGGGCCTTCTCGGCCACACTGGGGAGAGCATTGTCACATTGAAGTTTCGGTTTCAGCTGAGATTGCATCTGACCCCGACTGTGGGGCCCAGGAGCCCGTTGGGCACCTGCACTGTGGGTAAGGTGTCAAGATGGCTCTCAGCACGGACGTCCGGACAGAGTACCTGGAGCAGGTGGCCTCCATATTCCTTAAGTTCAAGCCCGACAAGTGGTACAAGATGCTGGGCACCGAGGAGAGCGCAGCCATGTTCACAGAATTCTTTGAGAAGCAGGACGTGTCTGTCCTGGTGCTGACGGTCAACCCGGCCGGCCTGGTGATCCCCTGCCTGGGCTTCCCTGCCTCCCTCAAGTCCAAAGCCATCTACTTCATCAAGACAAAGCCTACTAACATCACCAAGGACAACTACAAGTCCATTCTGATCCATGGGGACATCAGCCCTACGCCTGTGGACCAGCTCATCGCCGTTGTGGAAGAGGTGGGTGCTCCGGGAGGGTGGGACCCTGGCACCCAGGTGCTGCTCCCCCATCACCTGGGCACAGGTAGAAGTGCCTGACTGGCTGGGGTGGACAGCTCAGTACCAGGTGATGTCCCCCAACGCCCAACCAGAATGGACCCCTCCTTCGCCTCCTCCTCCTCCTATGTCCTTAGACCCTCCCTACAGGAAGGAGGTCCAGGAGGCGGGGAAATCATGCCCGCAGCTGCAAACCACAAGGCTGGCAGGGCGAACCCACCCACAGGTGCCTTGGGAGAAAGGCCTGACAATCTGCCCCCGGAAGGCCACAGCCCTGAGAACTTACGGAGCAGCTCTGCTCTGTCCACAGGGGTCAGCTCACTGGAGTCGCTTTGACGGCATGTGACAACCCCCATGCTGGACACAGTCCCTTCCCAGTAGCCCGCGGGGAGAACACTTGCTTCCAGGGGATTGGTTCTGACCCGCAGCCGCTGCGGCGGCAGCCAGACCTGCCCTGTAGGGATTCCAAGCCTGTCAGCCAGGCAGGTGCAGGCCGCCTCATCTCACAGTGACCCTGAGAACCACAGTGTCTGTCGCTGCCCCATCCTCGCTGTCTCTGCCGGGCTGAAGGCCACCGTCGCCCTCCCCACATCAGTCCATCTCCTGGAGGGTCTTCCTGTCCTTCGCTGACCCGCCGCCTTCCCCAGCCTGATGTCTTTTTCCAAGGACAGGCCCCTCCGGACAGCATGTCCAAGTGTGTGAGGCGGAGACGTGTCACCACCCTGGCCTGTAGCAAGCACTCTGCTGGCACTTTTGCCAAGACGGACCTGTTTGTTCGTGCCCAGGCCACGGCTGTTCGGTGTTCTCTCCGACACCACAGCTCCACGCTCCAGTCGCCGGCCTTCCCCTCCTTATTCACGGTCTCACTTGTCCACACATGAGGATGTTTTTGGGTTTTTTTGGCAGGTCCTCTACTCCCTGATAAATCAAGCAGAGAACAGGAGTGGGTGGCCCTCGGTGGTCTCTGAGGACATGGTCAAGCAAATACACAGGCTGAAGAATGAGATGTTTGTGATGGGCGGCAAGGTCAAGGGCAAGACGCTGCTGCCCATCCCGGAGCACCTGGGCAGCCTGGAAAGCACCTCTGAGTCCTTGGAGAGGTATGGCTTCCACAGGGTCCTGGCCCTGACCGCTGCTGGGTGGCTCTGAATCATGTGGCCAACAGGGTACAGGAAGGGTGAGGCAGCGTCCCCCGCTCCTGCCCAGCCAAGCCCAGCCTGCTGTGAAGACATGAAGGGCCCTCCCTCCAGCTGCCTGGCTCAGAGGCTCAGAGCCCAGTGGGAAGAGGATGTGTCCCCAGGGAGGAGAGGGCAGGGAAGGCTCTCAGACCAGTGGGGTGTCTGGGCTGCCACTGTTCAACCTGCCCCTTAGAAGTTCAGGGTAAGAAGTTCAGGGTCTTGAGGAGACACCTCTGGTTCTGTTCTGCACAAGACTCTTGGAGTTGTCACTGATGTGGTCACTGGTCCCCCCTCTGAGGGCTGGCCCTAACCTTCCAGGGACCCTCCACTCAGCCCTCTACATGCACCTGGAGAGACCCCAACACAGGAATCCCAGGAAGCCCAACTTTTAGGGCGCTTCTCTCCTCTCTCTGGAGGCATTGCCGTTTCTGATGACAGCTCACCTGCCCAGACTCCTGGAGCTGGGAGAGTGATGGGTGGCTGCGGCGGTCATTGATGGCGGGAGGGGAGGCCTGTCCACCTGCTGAGAGGGACCCGCTTGCTGGCGGAGCCTATCCTTTGAGCTTGCACCTGAGCGAGGAGAGGGCCTCCCCCACCCGTGTGTCCTCGCAGGATCCCCGCGGTCCTGGACGACTCCCTGCTGCATGCCATCGAGACTGTCATTATTGACTGGTCCCACCAGATCAGGGATGTGCTGAGCAAGGACTCGGCCCAGGCCCTGCTGGACGGGCTGCACCCATTGCCTCAAGTCGAGTTTGACTTCTGGGACACCCGGCTTATGAACCTCAAGTGCATCCACGAACAGGTAAGGTGCCCCCTCCACTTGCCGTGACCGGGTCCTGGCAGGCTGCCCACTGGCCATGTGCCCAGGGCAGCTGGTGGTTTTAGAGCTGACCTCTTGGTGCTGCCCTGGGACCAAGAGGCTCCGGAGCAGGACGATGGCTGTAGTTAGCTCCCTGGGGTCTATGCACAGCGGAACCAACCCTACCTGGCCCTGTCCCCCCTACCATCCACTGGGGTTCCCCTGGTTTGCAGAAGCTGACCTTGTTCACTCTTCTCACATGAGGAAGAGAACTGTGCCAGGAGAAAGAGACCAGAGGAAGGGGCAGTGCTCAAGGACCAAGGTGGCACAGTGTGCAGCTATTTTGGGGTTTGAGGAGGTGGGTTTTAGTGCACAGTGTGGTAGAGTCGAGGCCGAGCGTGTAGGCTGAAGCTTTTGCTGGAGCGTGAGGGCAAGAAGAGGAGCAGGAGTGATTTATTCCAATGGCCACGTCCCTTCAGAGCCCGGCGCATCGTGGAGAGGAGCCTGCTTGCGGCTTCCAGGTCTGGGCCCCGGGGCCCGCGTCACGGAGGGTTCAAAGCCCATGGGTGGTTCTCATTCTGGTCCCTGTTCTCTTGATGTGACTCATGTGAGAGCACTGTATGGCTTCCTGGCGAGGGCACCCTTCCGCACGCGTGCCATCCTGGTGTGGTGGCTCCTGGTCTATCAGGCATGCTGTTGTGTACTGTGGAGTCAGAACTGACCCAGAGCTGACCCTTCAGAGGGTTTTCAGAGGCTGTTAATTGCACAGGAGGGGACTGCCCATCCATCTCCCACAGAGCAGCTGGTGGATTTGAACTGTGTTCCTTTGGGGTTGCAGGACAGATTCTTACCACTAGTCCACCAGCACGAACTCCGCCACCTCACTGTATCTCACCTAACATTCCAGGCCTTTCTTCCTAGTCTTTCCTCATCTATCAGGTTTGCTGAAACCTGCTTGGCATCCCAGCACACGGGCCTCCCCTGATGGGTGGCTGGTAGCCTGGCTGGGAATTGAACCTGAGTCTCCTGCAGAGGAGAGTCCGCCTGAGCCACCGCTGGCCTGGAGTGACCGGTGTCTGTCTGGACCTGCTGCAGGCACACGGCTCAGCTGCCTGTGGGACTCTGCTGACTTGTCTCCTGTCCTTCTCAGCTCAACAGGCCCAAAGTCAACAAAATTGTAGAGATCCTAGAAAAAGCCCAGAGCTGCTACTGGCCGGCCCTGCAAAACATCTACATGAACGTCACGGAGGGTGAGCTGGGGTGCCCTCAGCCGCAGAACCCCAGCCCTGGAAGGATCTGGAAGCACCTGCTCGGAGCCAACTCTGTGTCAGAGCAGAGCTGTGCTCCCCAGGGTTTTCAAGACTGGTGTATCCCCAAGTGGATTGCCAGGCCATTCTTCTGAGGTACCTGTGGGTGGACTAGGGCCTCCAGTCCCTCCGTGAGCTCCACCCAGGGTTAACCCTCAGAGGCTCAAGTCTGACAAAGGAGGGCATGTCATCATTGTAAATGACAGACGGCGGCCTGTGTGTCCATCCACTCGCTCAGGAGTGTCCCCAGCAGGGCTGTGGTGAAATGTGTGTATGTGGTCCCCATCACCGTGTTTATCTCTGCGGGCATCTGTTCACCAGGCCTTGTCCCCTGCAGGGCTGTGGTCCCTGGTCAATGTGTCCTGCGCAGGCTGTGGTCAGCCCACCATGCTTATTCCTGACAGGGCTTCAGGAGGCCAACGACATTGTTCTCTACCTGAAACCCCTGCGAATCCTCCTGGAGGAAATGGAACAGGCTGACTTCACACTGGTGTGTGGGACAGGGTGGGGGGTGGGGGCTCTGCCGGAGGTGGGGAGTAGGGGATGCAGAGCCCTTGTTGTCTGTGAGCCTGGGGAGTGCCCTTTCTATCCCCTTGGAAACACACACACACACACACACCCATCCCCAAACTGGGATTAGGCCCTGGGAAGTGAATGCGTTTATGAGATGTGAGCTGTCCTTTTTTGGCTCACCTGGCTCACCTGAGCTCACCTGGGCTGGTCCCCCCAGCTGCCAAAGTTCATTGCCAAGGTGTTGTACACCATCTGCTTCATCTGGGCCACCTCGGACCACTACAACACACCCTCCCGCATCATCGTCATCCTGCAGGAGTTCGGCAACCAGATCATTGAGATGGTAACTGCCCATCGCCTCCCCTCCCCCCGCTGCCCACCTGCCTCCCTGCAGCCTGAGCTGAGGACCAAAGGCCAGGGTAGGGACCCCCAGGCCCCAAGCAAGGGTGACCCCTGGGGACTATACAGCACCTGCCGGGGACCCATCCCAGCACCCCAGGAGGGAGCAGGGAGGGAGGAGGCAGGAGGGGGCAGAGCTGGCCTGTACTGTGCAGGCTCACTCCCTGAATGCCAAAGCCTTGGGGGTTCCCATCCCCGGGCAAGTCACCCCATTTCCCCCTCAGGACACAGGGCCCCTCCACTTTCCTTTCTTCTCCCCGACGTTAGTGAGTAGGGAGCCCTGGTGGCCTAGTGGACAGGGGGTTTACACTGCTGACTGAAACTCAGATCCACCGGTGGCTCTGAGAGAGGAGGGGGGACCGTCATCTTGCATGTGGTCCAGCCTCTGAAAACCCACTGGAGGGTCAGCTGTGCCTCGGTCCTGACACGATGGCAGAGTGGAGGTCTTGGCCCTCAGCCCTCTACGTGGGCGGGGACCCTTCAGCCCATAGCGGGCGAGGATTTATCATCTTTACAAAGAGGCAGCCCCGGTGAGCAGAGGACAGTAATGCTCGGTGGGGTTTTCAGTGGTTCGTACTTCTGGCCTGGATCACTAGGCCTTGTTCTAAGGCACCTCTGTGTGGGCTCGAACCGCCAAGCTTTCTGTTAGCCGCTGAGGCCGTGAAATGTTTGCACCTCTCAGGGGATCCTTCAGCCCCTACCAAACCCCAGCCCTCTGCTGCCTCTCTCTTGGGGGGATTCTAGAAGGAGTCTTAGCCCTGAGGCACGGAAGGAAGGCCTGACAACCTGCCCCTGGGAGGCTGGCAGCCAAGAACCCCCTCGCCCACCGCTCCCGGCTCCGCATGCCGCTCGGGGCTGACCGCACTGTGCCAGCTCTAGGGTTTGGCTCAGCTCCAGGATGGGGTGAGGCGTCAGGGCAGCAGCCCAGGGGCCCGAGAACTGCCCAGCAGTCGGCAGGTGGCTGGGACATATACCCCGGGGCAGGTAACAGACAGGAGGAGCTCTGAGCCCTGCTGTTTCTGACGGGCTGGACAGCCCACAGCCGGCGTGGGTGGACACTGTCTCACATGGCGTGCCAGACCTTTGTGCGTCTTCTCTTGCGCCCAGACCCGGACTTACCTGAGCCCGGAGGAGGTGCTGAAGGGGCTGCAGGGCGAGGTCGAGGAGGTGCTGGGCGGCATTTCCCTGTCCGTGAAGGTGCTGAAGGAACTCTACCGCGCCTATGACTTCTGCTGCGCAAACATGAAGCTGTTCTTCAAGGTACCTCGGGACGCAGAGAGGCTGGTGTGAGGCCGGTGAGGGCCTGTGTGGGGCTGTGGGGCTGGACGCTGTGCCACCACCATTTAAAAGAGCAGCACAGTCACTCATGGCGGTCAGCAGGGCCTCCAGACTAAGACAGAGTAGGAAGCAGGGCTGGTCATTGGCTTCTGCAATAACAAAGCTTTGAAAAGTTTAGGAGTAGAATAAGCACAGTGACATTGGGCCGGAAGAGGAGGCACCCAGAACACACAAAGGGCTTAAGCTCCACAGACATTGTGAGCAAAGGGGCAGCACAGGGTGGGTTTTGGTCTGTTGTTCACAGGGTCACTAGGGTCCTCAAGTCAACTCAACTACACTTAACAACAAACTCACACTCTGGGCTCGTCACCAGTGTGAGGGGACTGTCCCTGGGCGAGGGGGAGGGCATCAAGCCAGGAGAAGTCCAGCATCAGCAAAAGAAAGACCTTCACTGAGATGAACTGACATCCTGACCACAACAGAACCCCCTCAATGGCACCTGACCACAGCAAATGACCAGAGCGACAACAAGGGCCAGCAAGGGGCAAGAGGGAATGGTCACAGCCAAACAGACCTTTCTCTTTCCCCAGAACAAGGAGCCGGTGCCGTGGGAGTTCCCGTCTGCTCTGGCATTTTCTAGAATGAATGCCTTCTTCCACCGTGTCCAGACCATCGAGGTAAAGGGGAATTGGGTTCATCTGACAGCTGCCTGGCTCTTGGCCTCGGGGCGCTGTGAGCACTAGCTGAGGTTAGCGGCCGTCCAGCCTGTTCCCCTCACGGCTTGTCCAGCAGAAAGGAACGCTGCCCGGCTCCCAGCGCTGCTCTGCTCATGCCCTTTGCACCAGCCTCTGTGTACATCCCAGGGCCTCCCAGCAAGGGACTTGCCTCCCAGCGCTGGGTCAGCATCCTGCTGTGAGCCATGTGGCTTCCCGGGACTGGTCTGTGGAGGTGGGTCGCCAGGGCTTTCTGCCTCGCCTGTTTTAATCTGGAAGTTCTACTGAAATCTGACCACCATGAGAGTCTTGGCAGGTGTTCAAAATACCAGTGACGTAGCTTCTGATGTTATAGCCACAGGCAGCCACCACTGGACGACAGACAGACTGACGGAGGTGGACGTCCGCCAGGTGTCATCATGAGGTGTCCTCAAGTGATGACCCAGTGAAAAACGTGTCTGAACCTCACCTTGTCCTGGGTCGTCTCATGACCTCAGATTTGCAGCTGAGACAAGAGGGGCCCAGAGCAAATCAACACTTTTAAAATGATTCCTCCAGGCAGCGGTCCCCAAGAACGGAGGAAGGAAGCTCTGTTTCTGTTCTGCAATCTGCAATCTCATTTTATTTCCTTTTCACTCATTTTCTTGTGACCAGAGTGAAAGCTGACAGAGCAAATTGCTTCTCTGTTGAGTGATTTCTGTGCGTTTTGTTTCGTGACATCGCTTGAAGCCCTGACATTGCAGCAGCATCCTTCCTCTTCCCTCCCTGTGTTTCCCGTTTCCCTTGAGCCTTCTTCTCTGCCCCTCCCCGCCTTCTGCACATCCTCCCTGGGCAAACACCGCCTTTTCATCTCATCTGCTTGATTGTTCTAAGAGGTGTATTCCTCTCTGGTGTTATTGACCATCTCAAAGGCCTGTGTCAGCTGCTTGGCTGAAAGTTTAACCACAAGGTGGGTTCACCTCCAGACTTGAAGATGTCCAAGGGCTGCTGTCCTAGGGTCCCACCACGCTCTGGCAGGCCAGTAAAAGCTGGGGTTCTTTTTTAAAATTCATTCATCGCTAAACACTTAAGCCTGGTGGTCTCTCGAGGGCTGAGTTTGTTCCCCGTTTTTCTCTTGCTCTCTCGCTGGGCACCGTCCACTTCTTCCCATCTCAGAGCTGCAGAGGCTGAAGATCCCATGGCCCCTCAATCCTCTGACTAACATCTGTGGTTTCCATCATTGTTCTTTGCTCTGGACAAGGAGGGACCCCAACAGTTAGCCTTTGGGCAGCTGCCCATCACCTGTGAAGACTCCGCTCAGAGTAGGATGAAGACATGGCCTTTGTGGGCTGTGTTACATCCCCACAGATGATGACTGACTCCAGCTCTTGAACCAGTGCGCATGGAGCTAGTGTCACAGGGACACAGTCTTCCTGAAGTCACTGAGCACTGGTTTTGTGATGGAATGATGGGCCCCGTTGGCGGTGGCTTCTGAAAGGCTGGTTCCCAGCCAGTCCGCCTTGGGAGGCTGGAGGTCCAATGCCAAGGTCAGCCTGCTGCCTGAAGGCCGTTGGGCGTGTGCTGCTGGCGTTGGCTGTGGGTGGGCCAGGGCTCAGGGACTTGGGGAGCCAGGGCAGTGTGATAAATGAGTCTTTTGCTTCTGATGGATCGGCGGGGAAAATCGTGAAGAGACAAAGGATGATATCTGTCTGTCTGTTGCTGGAAGCAGGAGAAGGTGGGCAGTCTCCTCCCGTGCCATCAGCTGCCTCTGAAAACCCGTGGAGGGTCAGCCCCAGGCCGGTTCCAACGCCACAGTGCACAACAGCAGTGTTGCTAGGAGAGGCGACTCCTTGGAGGGGGACATCATGCTAGGAGAGAGAGGCGGAGTGTCCAGTAACCACACTGATAGCTGCAGCACCACAGAAATGCCGAGGACGACGCAGGCCAGGCAGGCCTGCCTTCTGCTTTAACAGGGTCCCTGGGCGTCAGTCATCTTGATGGCCCCTAACAGCAGCGGCTCCTCCTGAAGGAGCCCTGGTGGCACCATGGATTTAAGTGTTAGGCTGATAACCAAAGCGTTAGTGGTTCGAAACCCCCTCAGTGAGGGGGTGAGGCTGGTCTGCTTCCACAAAGCTTGAAAGACTTAGGGTCAGCTGTCCCCTGTCCCTCAGATGACCAGGAGTCAGAATTGATCCCAGGCTGTGGGCTGGGTCTGGTTTGTCATCTGCCCTGTTACTGATGTAAGTGGGGGTATCCCTGGGTCTAAGAACAATGGACTGTTTTCTGGGACACTAAACAGTGGGGGACTTCTCCAGTCCAGTTTCCAGGGTCCCAGGGTACAACCGATGCTGCTCCTGCGACGGGGATTCGAGGACCCCGTCATCGCTTTTCTCCCACCAGGATCTTTACAAAACAGCCATTGAGTTCCTGAAGTTGGAGAAGATCGAGCTTGGCGGGGTCAGGGGCAACATCCTGGGGAACATGGTGACGCAGATCTACGAAGAGGTCTTCGAGTTGGTGAAGGTGTTTGCTGAGTGCAAGTACGACCCCCTGGACCCCGGGGACTCGGTGAGTGGGGGACAGGGCTACAGCAGGAGGACAGGACACCTGGGTGGGGGGGCTGTGCATATGACCCCAACACTTTAAAGAGGTGGACGGAACTCAGCACGCAGCTGTCACCTTGACAACCCTCTCGAATCTGACCCTGGCGTCCCCTCCATCGCGAGCCCCACAGGTTTCCCGCTTTGCACACCAGCGGGGGCTAACGGCTTCACTTCCCTTTAGAGTTTTGATGAAGACTATGCAGACTTTGAGAACAAAATCCAAGATCTGGACAGGAGGCTGGCCACCATCTTCTGCCAAGCGTTTGATGACTGTCCCTCCATTGCGTCCTGTACAAAGGTGAGGTGGCAGAGCCTGGGCTGGAGCGGCCTGGGCTGGACACAGTGGGGTTGGCCCAGCACCGTCCTCTTCCAAGTGGCCCAGGGTGCTGCCCCAAGTGTGGTCAAGGGGCAGCTTTGCTCGTGGGTGTCACGTTGTGGAGCTCCAGAGAGGTGGGGACACTGAACTTCAAGGGCTGCCCAGGGGGAGAATGGCCCGAGCAGAGCTTTCTAACCGGTCCTTGAATTTGGACATGCTGGTTTCTCCCGTGATTGGCATGCGGTGGGGGTGAAAGCCCCACCACAGAGCCACCACTGCCTTGCGGACCAGGGGGAGAAACATTTTCTAGCATGACCTCTGTGCACAGTAGGGCAACAGGAACAACAGAAGCGAAGAAGAGGGAGGGAGGTCACCCCAGTAATCCTTCTCCATTTCCGTCTGTTAGGGTTCAGTGCCTCAGCACACCTTCCCCACCAGGCACCCGCTAGCCTAATTAGATAACCCTTTGCTCCCCATGAATTCCCAAGGTGTCTCGGTGCCATTTCTCACCATTGTGCACTCACACACGGACAGGAAAGTCCTTGAACAATTTTCCACGTGCTTGCCTCCAGCAGAAAAGAAAATCACTCCCTTCTCAGAAGTCATGGCAAAAAAACAAAGCAAAAGCTTAAAAATAAAAAAGGAAGTGAAAAGGAGAGAAAAAGGAGCTGGGACAGTTGGACCAGGAAGAACTTCTCTGTCACACTCAGACTTTTTTTTTTAGAATAGCAGTTTAATTTTTTTTAATTTATTTTATTTTTTATGTGTGTACCGTCAAATCAGATCTGACTGGTCCAGAAGGAGATTGTCCCTCCTTCTCCAGCAGAGCATCTGGTGGATTCGAACCGTGCACCTCTGGGATTGCAGTGCAGCTTCCTGCCACTAGGCCACCAGAGCTCCCTCATGCTCAGATTTTTTAAATGTGGAACCAGTGGCCTCTATGTCCCTGGCCTCCCACAGGTGACAGCAGGGGAGCAGTGGGCATTAGAGTTTAACAGTTGCTCCTTGGCCCTTTGAGACCTGGGAACTCTGCTATCCTCACCTGCTGAGTTAACCCTTTTCTCAGGTCACTTTCACCTCCAGGGGTCTTAATTGGACTACTTTGTAACTTTTGATTGTGATTTGATTGGACGTTTACAAAGCAGATTAGTTTCCAGGTTGTAAATCCAAATAGGAGGAGAATGTCCTTCCATCCGGCTCCCAAGGAGCAGCTGGGGTATTTGACCCACCAGCCTTTGGGCACGCAGCTCAGCACACTTTCCCCTGTGCCAGAGGAGCTCATGAATGAGAGGTGGAGTTCTTATAGATCAAGCATTTCTCCACCTACTTGGTGATGCAAAGTGGTGTTACTGCTATTTGTGGGTTTTGTTTTGCTGTTTTTTTGGTGTTGCTGGTTTGCTGGGTTTTGGGGTTGATGTTTAAATTTCCCATGCTTTCCTTGGCCCAATCCTTCTTTCTCCTGGGCCTGGACTAAATTCTCTGAGGGGTGGTCTTGTGAGTCTCAGCTAGCCTGGACCAGGGGTTCACACGTCCCCACATATGGAGCTCAGACTGACTACATCACCAGGGGCAGACCAGGAGACCAGGGGCGTCAGCGTCGTCAGAGAAGTGGTCAGAAGTGCCCTGGGGCTGAAGGAATGGATGACCCCAGCTGGGTGGCTTGATACAACACAAACACTGTCCCAGCTCTGGAGGCGGGGAGTCCACACGCAGGGGTCAGCGGAGCCATGGTCTCCACCGAGGTTCTGGGAACTGGCTTCCTCACTCTTCCAGTTCCCAGTAACCCCGGTTCCTTGCCTGTGACCCACCGGGTGCCCTGGAGCTGACGCCAACCTATGTGCCGCCCCTATGTGTGTCGGAGCAGAACTGTACCCTTTTGAATGGCTGATTTTTCACCAGTCTATCACCTGGCCTTTCTCTGGAAGCATCTGTGGGTGGACTTGAACCTCCAGCCTTTCCATTAGCGGCCGACACTTTGCACCACCCAGGGTCTCCATGGCTTGTGGCAGCACCCCTTCAACTTCTGCCTGTTTTCCTGTGTCCTCCTGCCTTCTCCCTGAGGAATTCTTTTTGTGTCTGCTCCTGTTTTCTGTTCTTGTGAGAACCTGACCAATAAGGAGATTAGGGTCCTAACTTCAGCATGACCTCAGGTTAACAGACACCATCAAAGACGCCAGTGCCAAGTAAAGTCAGACCCACTGAGACGTTAGGATGAGGCTGAGGGCTAGGACAACAAAATATCTTGTTCAAACCCATGGCCATCACATTGTTTTGAGTCCTCTGGGACAGAGCGGAACTGGTTTCTAAGACCATAAGCATTTGCAGAAGCAGACTGCTGCATCTTTCTCCTGTGGAGCGGCTGGTGGGTTTGAACTGCTGACTTTTCAGTTAATACTTCAGTCACTGTGCCATCAGGTCGCCTTAACATATCTTTTGGGGGGACCCCGTTTAGCCCGTGATTGGATGTGTGTGCGTGTTTTCTCATCCCTGAAGGTTAGGTTATGCATTTCTTCAACAGACAGAGGGCCAGGACTGGGGGGGGGAAGGATGTAGAAGGCGGGGGACACTGGCTTAGACGTACCTCTCCCCTCTCCCCCAGCTCCTGCACATGTGTGGGGGGCTCCTGGAGCGGCCGCTGATTCTTGCCGAGGTGGTGCCCCGGTTCTCGGTCATGCTGGGGCTGTTTGATACAGAGCTGGACAATGCCAAGATCCTGTACGATGCCCAGATGGCAGCTTCAGCAGACGGGAATATTCCCCCAATCCACAAGAACATGCCCCCCGTGGCCGGGCAGCTCAAGTGGAGCCTGGAGCTCCAGGACAGGCTGGAGGCACCCATGAGGGACCTGAAGCACATCGAACATCCGTGAGTCACGGTGGCCGGCTGGGGGCTCTGGAGGGAAGACACCACCATCCACGGTTCCTGGGAGAACAAGAGGGCGAGACCCCGCCCTTACAACTTTACTCTTCATGTTGGCCAAACTGTTACTTCCTACCTCCATGTCCCAGACAGCACCTGTCCAAGCCCCCTCTCTCCGCTTTCAGACACCTCCTCAGAGGGTGTGACGCAGGACATTCCTGCCTATCCCCCATCCCTGATGGTCAGCATCCAAGAAACACAGTTGGTTGTCCCTGCTGGGACCCAAGATTTAGCAGCAGTGGCCAGAGCAGCTCAGGAGGTCCTGAACAAGAAAAATTCAGCCAGTGTCTGAAGCCAACGTCTCTGATTCCAGGGTCATGTCCAGTGTGGAGGCCAACCTGATCTACCAGAAGTATGATGAAATGATCGAGCTGCTGAAAAACTGCCGAGAAAAGACCTATCAGGAGTGGGTAGCACGAGTGGACCAGGACTGTCACTTCAACCTGGGGCAGCCTCTGATCCAGAGGGACATCTACACAAACCTTACCCATGTCAACTTCAGCAAGGCGGTAGGTGTCATAGTGCGCTTTCAGGAGAAGGTCCAACCCACGTACAATTGCTGCACCGAGGAGCTGGGGTGTTTGCTGTGTGTGGGTGAAGTTGTACCAGTTCCCATAGGCTGACTCCCTCATTCCATTGACACAGAATTCTACTGCATCAGTGACACACTGAGCCCAAAACTTTGTTTTGTGAAGTGTGTTCTTCCAAGTCCCCAGACAGAGTTAAGATAACAAAGAGCTGCAGTGAGAGCATTACAGGAAAGCTTGGTAGTCTTTCATGGTATCCCAAGAAGACCATCAGTGCTGGGGGGAGTGTTGCAGGATCTGAACAAATGATCCCGCTGGTATAGGAGAGCCAGCTAGGGAAAACTCTCTGTGATGGGGGCTGTGAGGCATGGGGCATCCCAGGGCCAGTTTGGGCTCATACAGGGAAGGAGGCTTCCACGGGTCAGCATCAAGTGGAAGGAGAGGACCGAGAGGGATGCCCTGAAGCCTTTCACTGGACGACCTGTTGGGGAATGGTTGGTGATGTCATCCACCTGTGTAATGATTGATGATGGCATCCACCTGTCTGTGCTTGTCAACTCCCTCTGACTCAGAACCAGCAAATGGGATCAAAGCATCCTGATCTCATCAGCAAACCCCCTTCCTTCCCCAAACTCTGCCCCCCACCAGCTCTGGCACCCTCAGCTCTATGCTTAGCTCCCGGCTGCCCTCCTTTCTGTGCCGCAGGGACGGCCCCCTGACCTTGTCTCTGATCTTCACTGGCTGTTTAGTTGGTGGCAGTCCTGAGAGAGGTCAAGTATCTGAACTTCCAGCAGCAAAAGGAGATGCCAGAGAGCGCGGAGAGTCTGTTCTCCCAGAATGAGAGCTTCCGGAAGTTTGTGGGCAACCTGGAACTCATTGTCGGCTGGTATAATGAGGTGAGCTGTCACGGCGTTGGCTTGGGTTTGTCCTTGCCAAGTTTTGATTCTTGTTTAGGACAAGGACATGTGCAGGGCTGCTGAGAGGATCAGAATAAATGCGTGTATTTTAATAGTCAAGGAGAGCTTGTGGCCTAGTGGGTAAAGAGTTGCACTTCGTCCCAAAGGTAGGCGGTTCGAATCTGCCGGCTGCTCCTGTGGAGAAAGATAGGCAATCTCCTCTGTGCGATTTACAGCCTCTGAAAACCCGCTGCAGGGTTGGCTGTGAGTTCCAATTTGATGGCACTGATTTTAATATTCAAATAGAACATGCGTTATTCATGTACACGGCAGCTCCAGACAGCTGGCGAGGGAAACCCCATTTCCACGGGCCATTGGTTTCCGTGACAGGATTCTTTATAGACACTTTACTCTCCTTAGCATGTTTCACTTTAAGCAGTGTTAAACACATTCCACATTCCTTACATGACCCGTACTCAAAGTAGGAGACAGCATCCAGAGATATTGTTAAGCCAAAAATAGCATCTGGGGGAACTCTGGTGGCCTAGTGGCAAAAAGCTGTACTGCAATCCCAAAGGTACATGGTTCGAATCCACCAGATGCTCTGCCAGAGAAGGAGGGACAATTTCCTCCTGTACCAGTCAGATCTGATTTGACTGTACATGCACAAAAAATAATAAAATAAAATTTAAAAAGAAAAGCAACATAAAAAATAGCATCTGAAGTATCTTAAACCAAATCATCTAGTTTATCTAAAGAGGGCCTTCTGTGAACACTGTGCTCTTTCCACGGGTGCGTCCATGGGGTCAAAGTGTCAGGACCAACTCAGGAATCCACGGGGGTGGGGGGCAGTGAGGGAGGCCCAGCTTGGAAGATGATGAGGTGATTGCCCAATTGAAGAGCGTAACCGATGTCCCGGAATTAAGCATGGAGAAGTGGTTGGCTTGGTGGATGTTCAATAACAACAGAAACAGATAACACAGGCCGGTTTAAAAAAAAAAAGAAAAAAAAAAGAACCAAAGTGGAGAAGAGAAGGACTTACCATGGTGGCTGGACACCAGAGCCTCAGAAATGCCCATGAGAAAGGTCTGTCCACCGGGTAAGGATGCACTAAAGTAGAGAGAGGCCGGCAGGCCGCTGGCTGGTCCACACTCAGCTTTACGGTCCTGGAACGCCTTTTGTTCTGGACTCCTGCTGGATGTGGTCTGGGAACCTGACACAAACGGCCTCCCTCTCAAGAGGGTGATTATGGATAAGAGAAAAGAAGTATTTGTAAATAATTGTTTCTTGACTGCACTTGGGAGACGGTCTCTGAAATGCCTTGGATGCCCAGAGCAACTCCTTCCCAGCCTGAGGTCTGGAAACAGAATCAGAACTGACCTGGAGAATGTGGACTCAGAGCACAGGGGCACCCCTACTCCCTCAGACCCCACCCACAAATCCTGGAGAGTGATACTGTTTGCATGGCACGACATCATACCACCCTGAGCCCGCAGCAGGTCAGGCCAGCAATTATTATAAAAAACATTTTATTGTGATTTGGGTTTATAGAGCAAGTTGCTTTTCCACTCAGCTCAGCCAGCGATAGCCATTTTGACCCATGACCCTGACCACAGTCTCCACAGTCACAAGCAGCACTCTACCCACTCCCTTCCAGTGTTTGCCATTTCCACTTGTCTCCTTCCTGCCTTCTAAGCTTCATTCTGCACAAACGCTGTTCTTTTGATATCCTGCAGCTGACGGTTCTCAGGCGTGTGTACCTCTCAGTGTTACTACTCACCTCAGAGGCTTATCTGTTGTCTGAAAGTTGAGACCAGGGTGTGATGAGTTCAGTTCCAGACTTGAATGGTGTCTCAGGGATTCCACCAGTCTCAATCAGACCAGGAAACTTGATCTTTTTTATTTTTCTTAATTATTGTTTTGCTCTATTTCAAAGCTGCCAGTGGTAGTAACCAGGCACCATCTAGTTCTTTGGCTCTAATTTTGTTGTTGTTTATCATTGCACCTTCAGAACATAATTTCCTGTAGATAACAGACATTTACCACTGCAGTCATCCGCACATGTACCCCTCAGCAATGTTAAATGTGTTCATTGAGCTGTTCAACCATCACATCCTCAAATCTAGACCTCACTCTGAAAGCTGGTATCTCCTGACAGTGATACGTCATTCCCAGCCAGCAAACGTTGACTGTCAGTGCCTGGGTGGGTCCTGAAGAGCAGAACTCCTCGAGCTCCTTAAAATCTGGTGGGATGTGGAATCCTTTGTTCTGCAGATAAAGACCACAGTGACGACGGTAGAGTACCCACTCATCAAGTCGGAGCTGGAGGCAATTGATGTCAAACTGCTGGCTGCTGAAACAAGTCTATTTTGGAATGGCAAAGGTATCAAGGGCCCCATCGACCCTGGATTAAACTTGGGATTGGGTGGAGGGGCGACCTGTAAAGAGCCTGTCCTAAAACCCACCTAGAATTGCCACTTCTGCTCTCTAGCCTACCGAGCCTGCTTTACCTGCCCCAAAGTTATTTTTTTCCTGAATGGTGCAATAGTTAAGAACATGGCTACCCACCAAAAGGTTGGTGGTTCAAGTCCACCCTGAAGAAAGACTTGAACACCCACTGAAAAACCAGCCATTGAAAATTGGCTGAAGAGAATCCTACTCACAGGGTTAGGATGGATGGAATAAAGTTCAAGTTCTCATGGATTCCAGACTTTCTGGAGCCATGGAAGCTGTACAAACCCCTGAAACTGTTACCTGAGTTAAGCCTTAAAATGAAGTGAAGCCCTGAAGTCTTAGAGAAAAACAGTGTTTTAACTTCATTGGTGCAGAATGTCTGTCTTGTACACTCGTCTCTTTTTTTTTAAATGTTTCATTATTTTTGTGTGCATGTACCGTCAAATCAGATCTGACTGGTTCAGGAGGAGATGGCCCCTCCTTCCCCAGCAGAGCATCTGGTGGATTCCAACCGTGCACCTCTGGGATTGTAGTTGCAGCTTCTTGCCACTAGGCCACCAGAGCTCCCCCACACTCATCTCTTTTAACGAAGTGTCTCTGTGGGATGAATCTGACAGCAGCATCGTGGGAGGTTAGCTGGGAAGCACGGGGAGAAGGGAGTCTGCGCTGTTGGAGGAGGAATACTGTGGGGAAGGAGGGTGAGAACCACTGCAGACCTTGCTGGCCGTGGCCAGTGCACTGAACTGAACACACGGGGACTGGGGCCTTGGTCTATACCCACTGTGTTTGTTGGCAACAACAACAATAAAAAAAAGAAACGGTTGTTTTAAGTATGTTTTCAACAACAAACTAGAGAGCACAGTTCTACCTGGACACACAGAGTGTCACCGTGGGCTACAGTCCCTGAAACAGCAGATGGCTGTTCCCAGCAGTGTACAGAGAAGGGCGTCCTGGGGGTGCAGTGGTTAGCGCTTAGCTGCTAGCTGAGACCCACCAGGACTCCTTGGGGAAGATGTGACCGTCCACTTCTGTAAAGACTGACAGGGTGTGGTGAGCGGCTAGGGCCCTAGCACACATCTCTCCTGATTTGAAGCCATAAAGGTGACAGCCTCGGGGACCCTGGGGGGCAGCTCTCCTGCGTCCTTCACGGTTGCTCTGACTCAAGGTCAACACAGACACAGTGTGCTCAGTTAGGGAGTATAATCATAACAAAACACATGCCACCGTGACACCGTCTCATCTCGAAGATTCAGTCATGTCCATTGTGTTGTGCAAACATAACCATAAACCTTTTGCAAAATTTTCCATCATCCCTAACTGAAGCTTAGTGCTGTACTCTAAATGACAAGCCCCTCTCCCCTCCTACCAAAAGCATCGTGGCGTGTTCCTCATAAATGGAGTGAGGCAGGCAGCCTCCCTGGGAGCTGCCAAGGGCTCCCGATGTTCCCATGCCAGGCCAGCCAGAGTCCCGTGCTTGTGGGCACAGCATCACACATCTCAGCCAGTGCAGGGGGTGGTGTTAGAGAAGCAGGAAGAAGTGTCTCCACAGATGCCCTTCCTCCTCCATGCTGCCGTCAAGCCAAACCAGGCAGGAGACCCCACTCCTGCCCTCCTCACCCCCAGGACCCACCTCCAGCTCCTCTGAGGACTCCACTCTCAGACTTGTCCACGTTTTCAGTCTTCTGCCAGGTCCTGCGTCTGAACTAGAAGATGAACGGGTGGAATGTGACGGTCCGTCTACCTGACGCCTGGGTCTGTGCAGTACTTGCCTGACAAAGCGGCTGTCTTAGTTCTGTAATGCTGTTGTCATGGAGACAGCACAAGGGGACGGGGTAAATTTGAAATAAGCAGACATGCACTCAGGTTCAAGCTGAAGGTGTCAGCTCCAGAGACGGCCTCTTCCCTCTGTCTACTGCAGGAAGGTCCTGCTTCCTTCCTGTGCTCCCTGGAGACCTCCCATGTACCGACCTTGGTCCAGAGAATGTCCTAGTGCAGGACCAGGTCCAAAAGTGCACACTCCACTCCCGACAAACTCTTGGTTGGCTTTTGTTCCTTTTTAACTCTCATGAAAGAGAAGATATTACAGGCCCCACCTTAGTGAGTTTCCCCTAACACAGATCTGAGCTGTGATGAGATTAAGGGGTGTTGCCTTCTCCCCCTTAATTCTCTTAAAAGAACTAACCAGAGAATGAGGGATCCTTTCAAAGCTTCCACCGTGTATGTGTATCATCACAAAGGCATATTTAAGGGTATTTGGTTCAGGGCAGAGACCACACTTTTGTTTCCTCTCATCTGCACAAGGATGACTTTCTTCTTGGCTCCAGGTCACTGGCAGTTTTGTAAACAAGTTCATCTCTCCAGGGTCCTGTTTGTGGTTGGCTGGTCACGTGGCCGTGGTGGTGGTAGCAATGGTGGTGGATGTCCTTCACAGCAGGACTCTGATGTCTGAGTGGAGCTTGTGGTCTGCGTACTAGGAGATCGGGAAGCTCTGTTTGCCGAGAGATACCTTGTACACAATTCCTCAGTATTGCCGTTCAGAGAGCTCCCAACCATCCCTTCTGCTGCTTGTTCTAAACCAGTAGAAATATTTTTAAGAGTTGTCTCTTACAAATGAGCATAAAACCCACCCAAGGCAAAGTTTCATCTGGCTGGATTGCTAATTTTGTAATATTCCTCTGTGCTGTGTTTTTAGATGTGTTTGAATATATTCAAGAGACTCGAGAAATTCTACATGACTTGCAGACCAGGATGCAGAGAGCAAAGCAAAATGTAGAAATGATATCTCAGGCTATGAAGGTGAGCAGAGCACGGAGCAGGCCTCGGGTAGCAGCCCAGGAGAGTGCAGACCCTCAAAGGAAGGGCAGCCACATGGCCAAAAGGCCCCTGGGACAACTGATGTCAAAGCGGCCCTCACGTGGCAGAGCCCAGGTCATGGTGCAGAACGCAGCTCTCTTCTAGTCTGATGCGCTCAGCATGTGTGTGCAGGGCCTGCCAGGTGGCTGCCAAGAACCCAGCAAGACTCAGCCCGGGTTGGAGCCATTCATTTTTCCAATATTGCAGAAACAATGGTTTTTAAAGCTCACGCCCCATCAACTGTCTCCTCTAGTAAACCCTGGGAGCAGTCTTTCACTGGCTCTCCATAGCGTATCATCAATGGCTACATTTTCAAAGACATTTGCAGCCATACAGCCGAAAGGAAGTCTTCTAAAATCCCTGCCTTAGTTACCCAGTGATGCTACCTACGGCTGACGGTCAAGCACCAGTGGATAACTAACACGCAGAAGCTTGTTCTCCTGCAGACTAGGAGGCTAGAAGTCCAAACTCAGGAAGTGAACTCCTCGCCCAAATCAGTGGACGTGGGGCCATTCACCCCAAAGAACGAGCCAAGGAAAGGGCAGCGCCAGAGCTCTGCTTCTCCCAAACGTCTCTCCTCACCTCCAGGAATGGTCAACCAACCCAATGTTCGAAAGGAAGGACAACAAGAAGGACGCCCTCCTAGACCTGGAAGGAAGGCTCTTAACCCTCAACAAACGTTACACGGTGGTCAAGGACACGGGGCTGAGGATCCAAGCCATGGTCGCAGTAAGCAGGCGGCGGGGGAGGGACATTTCCAGAGTGATTTTGATTTTGTAAATGTTCACTGAAGTCTGATATCATTAATCCAAGACAGTCTGACCATCAAAGAACAGACCTGCCCCCTGTCCTCTCGGAAGCCCAGCTCCTCTCGCTCTGGCTCCTCCCTCCAGTATCCCGAGGACGCAGGGTTCGGATTCCGTGGAAAGTTGGTGCAGGCAGGCAACCACTTCACCACAAGGCCAGCACACCTGGCTGTCCTGGGCTGGGCTGCCCGAGGACAGGGACTGTGCATGTCTGCCTGGTGTCCTTCCTGGGTCCTTCCGTTCACGAGTGGGTAAGAAGGCGCGAGGCACATCAGAGTGGGCGAGAGCAGAGCTCTGGTGCCAACGCCTTCAAACGGTACCAGGTGACAACACGCAGGCTCTGATGCTATTTTTTTTTAAATTTTATTATTTGTGTGTGTGTGTGTACCGTCAAATCAGATCTGACTGGTACAGGAGGAGATTGTCCCTCCTTCCCCAGCAGAGCATCTGGTGGATTCGAACCGTGCACCTCTGGGATTGTAGTTGCAGCTACTCTTGATGCTATTTTGCTGGACTACCTCCGTGGTCTGTGGTCCGGTGTTGCTGCTGGTCCCGGAGGTAGTCATTGAACAGGCACTCCCTGAGTGTGTTCCTGGGGTGCAGACGCTGTGGACCCCACCCTGCTGTCAGGACAGCTTCTTCCTAGCTTGCCTGTTAGCCCCTGCGAACCAACACAAAAGGCAGCAGAGATCAACACGGGCCTGCAAATGAGAAAGTCCGCCCTTGAGGGAAAACGGTGTCCTGACCAGCAAATCTGGTCTCGCACGCCGTCCAGGGGGACTTCAGGCCATGGTGCAAATCACAGGCATGGATTTCAATGATGGGTCACCACACTCAGACCACCGAGGGGTAAATGGGGGTGCGGGACCTTCCCCGGCTGAGTGCTGGTGACTCAGTGGACAGGTCATCACGGTGAGAAAGCACCTAGCGAGCCACCAGACGTCCACCTGAGGACTGAGGGGAGGGCCCAGCCGCCCACTGAGGAGGGAAAGGAGGGCACAGCCGCTTGATTCTGTTTGCAGGAGAATGCCGAGCTGTTCAAAGCTGACACAGTGAGTGTGAACTGGAGGGATTACGTCAACTTCATCGACAGCATGGTACTAGATGAATTTGACCAGTTTATTCGCAACTCTTTAAATTACCTGATGCAGAACATGGCCATAGATGTAAGTTTTCAATAGTGGGTGATCTAGGGTTTGGAGTTTCCTGATGGAGGGAAAGGCAGTCTTGTAAACAGAAGTCTGCCTCGGGTGGGGAGCCCAGTTTTCGGGCTGAAAGTGCTCCCTGCGGCGAGTTCCACTTCCTGATGTGGAGGGCCCCTGGGACTCTGCTCCCCACATGGCCTGGCCATGTTCTTTGGCTGTGACCCAGAGTGGACATGGGGCACGTAGGGTCAGCCAGTGGAAGGCCAAGCTGGTGACAAGGGTGTGGCCGGTTCTAGGGCAGTGTCGCACCCCTGTTTGAGATCCACATGGAGCTGGGTGAGGAGGGGCTGACCTTCTCCCCATCGCTGGAGATGGGCTCAGATCAGGGCTTCCTGAGTCTGATCGAGAGCTTGGTGGAGGACATCTACAACACAGCCCGGTTCATCCCCCGGCTGGCCAAGAACAGAATGAGCTACAAGGTGGGTCATGGCTTAGTGCCCCCTCCAGCCGCCCTCTGCCCAGAAGACAGAAACATCCCTCAGACAGAGAAGAACTGACCCCACAGGGGCTGGAGGCAAAGGACCAACACAAATGCAGAGTGACAGAGGGAAGTTAGAGCAGGTACACCTACAGACCACTCGTGCTTGTTTCTACGGGAGGTTACAAGAGAGCGTATAAAAGAGGCCTCGTGGTCGTTTCAGGGAGCCCCCGGGAGGAAGGTGAGCTGAGGACCTTGGGTCAGCTGTAGTCACTTCTCTGTATGTGTCAGAGATGATGAGAATAGCACAGGATACAGGACAGGTTTACACCTGGTGTTCAGGGTCTCTATAAGTTACACTCTACTTGACAGCACCTACCAACAACAACGTGGCGATTTATACAGAGAGAGTAGCAAAGGTCCACATATAGGCCCCGCGTGGTTGATTGAATAGGGTGGTCAGGGAAGGGTGTATTACAGACCCCGTGTGGTTGAGGGTAGGGGGTGGTCAGGGAAGGCTGTATTACAGACCCCACGTGGTTGTTTTCTAAAAGTTGGCAAACAAAGGTGGCAAGAAGCCCAGCCCGGGGAGCCATGAGCCGATGCCCATACACTGAATTATTCTCAACACTCTTACTCTGCTCTCTGTGCACCCCCTTCAGGTGGGGCAGGTGGGGGCACTAGATACTCAGACTAGAACCTAAAAGGTGGTTTCACTTCCTGAAACAGGCAGATCCCTGTCTTCTGTGGACATCTTCCCATGGCCAACAGGCTTCATTCTGAGCCACAGGACAAGGAGGGTGGAGGAGGGGGAAGCGAAGTCGGGTTTCCATTTCAAAGGTTTCTGTGCTCTTGAACGGCGTAGAACAAGTGTGTCTCTGTAATAGTTCCAGGATGTTCTGTGCTGCCAGGATTGAGTGCACGGATGTGCATATGTGTGCATACGAGCACCTGCACGTGTATGTCTTTGTATGTGCGTGTGCACATTTCCGAGCTTGCACGTTCTGTATGCATGTGTTCACATGTCTGTGCTCACATGTGCACACATACATGTCTCCATTGCCACATGTGTGTGTGTGTGCACACCTGTGTGCACAGGTCTTTGCTCTTATGTAAGCATGAGTGTGTGTGTATGCACTTAGTGAGGGCGAGGGCCGGGGTGACAGCTGCCTCCTGTCACAGAGGCTGTGATGACTTTCCAGATTTGCTGGCACCTAAGAGAACAGCTGTTTCTGGGCTGAAGGGGCGGGCAGAGCTGGACTGGAGCTGCAGACGGGTGCAGGCTGGTCCGAGAGCACGCAGCTCTTCTAAGATTGGAGCAGAGCCTGCCCGCTGCTGTCCAGCTCCACCCACAGAGGCTAGACCCAGAGGCTTCCTTCTGGGGCTCTGTGTCTACCAGCCTTCCCCAAGGCCTCCCAGTGCAGAGGACAGGTGGAACAGACAAGCTCCACACCCAAGCCTTGGTCTCTCAGCAGCCTCCCGAATCTCGGGAGCCCATGGGCCTGCTTTCTGGCTTAAACCAGTCACAGTTAGGTTTTCTGACCAACTATAGTAAGATCATGTCCAGCTCAGACCACTCCTGCTCCCGGCTCTAGCCACCTGAGGTGGGCTCCTGTCAGACCCTCTACGGCCCCTGCTGCCTCCCAGCTCCTCCCAGAGCCTCCCTCCTCAGGGCAGCAGTCCTGATGTCCCCTGAGAGGACTCCTGGAGTTGTGTCTGGCCCAGACAGAGTGCCACTGAGTGCATGAATGAACGGACACGCCTTATCTCAGGCGAAGTAGTCCCTGGCCCCTCTGCCAGCCTTGAGGGCCCAGCCTGGCTCACCACACGGTTAATACACCCCCCCCCCTACCCCCGCCAGACGGACCTGGAGGACATGGCAGACCTGATAGACATGCGGGAGGAGGTCTCCAACCTGGTGGTCAGTGCCATCAAGGAGGCCGAGGAGTACCAGGACTCGTTTGAGCGCTACTCCTACCTGTGGATGGGGGACTTGCAGGAGTCCATGAAGCACTTCCTGGCCTTCGGGCGCACCCTCATGCCCGAGGAGTCGGACGTCCACATCGACGAGAACCTCCCCAAGACGCCCCCCACCCTGGAGCAGTTCCAACAGCAGGTGTGTGTGGGACCCCTCGGGGACCCTCAATGCCAGGGCATCTCCAGCATTGCCCCAATGGGAGGGCAGGAGGGTATGTATCACAGGGTGGGCGTGGTCACATGGGAGGAGGGAAGACATCTTCAAGTGGGTGTGTCCTGGCTAATACTGGGAGCCCCAAGGAGGGAGCTGGGGAGCCCCTGAGCGCAGATGAGCTTGGACCATTGGGCCCAAGTAGTCACGCTCCCCTGCATGCATACAAATCCTGCTTGCCTGTGCGCCTTCAGAAGACCTGCCCTGGATTGTCCACCAAGCCCCTTTTCCACACTATTCATATGAACACGCCCAAAACCCCAGACTGTGAGGTTCCCAGGAGAAGGAGAACTAACAGGTCACAGAGACATGGGCTTCCCAGAGACACAGATATGCACATGCACAACTGTGCATGTGAGGAACACACAGACACGCCAGTAACCACGCGTGAACGCAGATATGTGCGTGTATGCACACGCACACGAGCACACAACGAGGTACATACAGGGCTCGCTTCAGCAGCACATACACCGAAACTGGAACGATACAGAGAAGATTAGCACTGCGTGCACACACGTGCACCCCCAGCCCCACAGCATAGAGCGTCCAGTTCAGGCCACTCCACAGCGTAGACCCAGGCTCCCAGCAGCAGAGAGCTCTGCAAAGGCCCTGTGGCCGGAGGAGCCGGAGAGGAAGCGGCGTGTTTGGGGACCTGCCTAGCGCAGACAGCAGGAGCCCGAGCTGGACAGGGCCTTGCTGGTGGCCAGGGGGCTGGAACCCCACGCGTGGCACTGTCCCCGGTGATGACTGGCGCTGCTGGCGCCTCTCCCCTAGATTGACTCGTACGAGAAGCTGTACGAGGAGGTGAGCAAGCGGGAGAACACCGTAGTGTTCCAGGGCTGGCTGCAGTGCGACTGCCGCCCCTTCAAGCAGGCCCTGCTCAACGTCATCAAGCGATGGGGCTTCATGTTCAAGCGGCACCTGAGCGACCACGTGGTCAACAGGTGGGTCCCCCCCCCCCCCGGCACTGCACCTGGGTCCAGCTGCACCTGGGTTCAGTGCCCCAGGGGTCTATGGCACCGGGGTCCAGCGCACCCGGGGAGCGTGTACAGGTGAGGGCCGCTCCTGCAGCGTCAGGGAACCCCGACCTTCCCTTGTCCCGCAGCCTCGCGGACCTGGAGGCCTTCATGAAAGTCACCAGGTTGGGCTTGACCATTCCTCTCAAGGAGGGAGACTATAACGGGTTGGTGGAGGTGATGGGGCACCTGATGAAGGTCAAGGAGCGCCAGATGACCACAGACGACATGTTCGAGCCCCTTCGGCAGACCATCGAACTGCTGAAGACCTATGGGGAAGAGATGCCGGAGGAAGTGCACACCAAACTGCAGGTGGGCGGGGCTGGGCTGGGTGGGCGGAGCCATGAGGGGGTGTGGGCGGAACCAAGGTGGAAGGGGGGCCAGGGAGGAGCCAGGACGGGATGTGGGTGGAGCCAGGATATGGTGTGGGCGGAGCCAAGGTGGGAGGGGCCAAGGAGGACCTACGGTGGTGGGGTGTGGGCGGAGCCAAGGTGGGAAGGGGGGCTAGGGAGGAGCCAGGATGGGGTGTGGGTGGAGCCAGGGTGGGAGGGGGGCTTGAGCAGAGCCAAGATCAGGGTGCTAAGGCGGAGCCAGGATAGGGTGTGGGCGGAGCCAAGGTGGGAGGGAATGTGTACTGAGCCAAGGTGGGCGGGGCCGGGGAGGACCTAAGGTGGGAGGGGGTCTGGATGGAGCCAAGGTGGGAGGGAGCACGGGGGGAGCCAGGGTGGGAGGAGCTGGGGCGGAGCTAGTGTTAGGGCTGAGGGAGAGGCTCTGGAGTGGAGCTGGGGTGAGAAGGACATAGTGGCGGGGCTCAAATAACTGGTACAAGAGTGAAGGTTGGGGTGCGGGTTGGGGCTGGAGTGGAATGTGGGAGAACCTGGGAGAAAGGGACCCTGCAGGGGAGAGGCCGATGTGGAAAGGTAGGAGCCAAAAGGTGGGAAACGGGGCAAGGAGTTGGAGGTAGGGAGGTGGGGGGAGGGATGGAGGACCTGAGAGGGGGAGGGCCTGGTGCTGGCTCTGGACCATAGCAGGGGACAGTGAGACTTGGGGTTGGAGAGGTGTGATTACTGGAGGGAGGTGACCAGTGGCTCTAAGCAAGGTTGGGGTGGGGAACAGTGAGGCTCTGGATGGGGAGGTGGACGGGTTGGCAAAATACAGGGTGGGAGAGAGAGGAGGACAGCATTCTGGAAGCAGACACTAAAAGCAGACACCTGCAGAGTGGAGCCCCACATTGGAGCAGGTGTAGGGGTTCTTCCAAGGGGCAAGTGGTGAGGTTTTATTGTTTGCCCGCGGCAAGGCCTGGGAAAACACCGAGTTCATCTGTGTGCTGAGGCAATTCTGGAAATAGCAGAGTGAGAGGAGGTGGGGTGTCAGGGCCGGATTGAGGCAGAGAAGGGAAGGGACGCCCTGGTGGCTCAGTGGTTAAGCACTAAGCTGTTAACGGAAACGTCCGTGTTTTGAACCCTCAGCAGCTCCTCGACCAAGAGATGAGGCTTCAGTTGGCAGAGCCGTGAGAATCCTGGGGGCAGTTCCACTCTGTCCTGCGGGGTCACTGACTCACGTGGACTTGTGGGCAGTAGATCTTTGGGGGTTTGTTTTTGAGATGTTGTAATGAATTCACGGTAAGAAGCGTTCCAGAGCAGACCCCCGGGACCCCCGCCCTGACCTCGGTCTCCCGCAGGAGCTGCCTGAGCAGTGGGCGAACACCAAGAAGCTGGCCCTCCAGGTGAAGCAGAACGTGGCTCCTCTCCAGGCCAACGAGGTCAACATCTTGAGGAGGAAGTGCCAGCAGTTCGAGGTGCCACCTGGGGACACCCAGGGAGTGGGGGACGGGCAGCTGCTGACAGGGTCTGAGCCCATCTCCTCTCTGCCCATGTCTCCTGCAGATCAAGCAATATGAGTTCCGGGAGAAGTTCAGACAGGACGCCCCCTTCTCCTTCAGCGACCCCCAGCCCTACAAGTCCCTCAACAAGGTACCTGCTCAGGATGGGCTCAGGTCTGACCCTGCGGGCGCTGGACTCCTCTGTCCTAAGCTGCTCTTGTGAGTCGGATCACAGAGACCACATGACTGTCCACAGGTCGTCCGAGTGTGTACATGCACTCGTGTGCACCTGTGTGTGCCCGTGCATGTGTGTTATCTGTGCCTGTGTGTTACTATGCCTTAGTGTGTACCCATGCATAAGCATGCGTGTATGTGCACACGTGTGTGCATGTGAGTTCTAGTGTCCATCAGTGTGAAAGTGGGTGGTTGTGCATTTGTGAAGGTGTCCGTGTGTGAGCATATGTGAGCCCACATGTGGGATGGAGAAGGGTGCACATGTGAGTGTGAACGTGTGTACAATTGTGCGTACCTGACAGAGTGCCTGTGTGTGCATGGGGGCAGAGAACACGTGTGCAAGTGTGAGTATCTGTGAATGTGTTTGCCTGTACAGGTGGGTGTGAACTTGTGATTGTGTACGTGTGTATGTGAGTGTGTTTGTGTGTGTGTGAACTTGTGAATGTGTACGTGTTATGTGTGTGTTTGTGTGTGTGAACTTGTGAATGTGTATATGTGAATGTGAATGTCTTTGCATGGGTATGAACTTGTGAATGTGTATGTGTTATGTCTGAGTGTGCGTGTGAACTTGTGAATGTGTACGTGTTATGTGTGTGTTTGTGTGTGTGAACTTGTGAATGTGTACGTGTTATGTGTGTGTTTGTGTGTTTGAACTTGTGAATGTGTATATGTGAGTGTGAATGTCTTTGCATGGGTATGAACTTGTGAATGTGTACGTGTTATGTGTGAGTGTGTGTGTGAACTTGTGAATGTGTACATGTTATGTGTGTATTGTATGTGTGGACTTGT